ACTTTTCTTATTTTCCTGTATACCATTCAGCTCCCAACTGAGGAATTCACATCAGGATGATGCAGATATACTTTCAAAGTCTAGGAGTGGTTTAGCTCTCCACCCACAAACAGAACTATCCACCATTTTAATTCCTTTGCAACAACAGACAAAATTTATGGCTATATTAGCAACCATCTTCCTGCCTGGAGAGAGCTGACTTGAGTATGATTCTTCGAGTTTAGACAGACACAATAAGCAACTGTGTCAAAGCCACTTGGAATTTTGGCCAGGGCACAGCTGTGTGGATCCTTGGAAAAGTAAGTACAAGCCAGAAGGCAACATCTTCTTCCATTGATTCCCAATTTTGGTGTCAGATTAGCAGCAACAAATAATACACTGAAAGATTGCAGGTTTAGGATGCTCATGTTCTCAGATGTCTCTATCTGGTGGAAACCAGCCCTGTGTTAGTGTGACCTACCCCTTCAGATCATGAGTGATCTGGGCTTGTGGGCTTGCACAGGACACTGTGGGCTCCCTGCTCCAGTAATCAACTACCTCATACTCACACTGGTGCAAAAGTTTGTCACATTTGCAGAGGCAGCGACACCATGCTGTGAGAAACAACTACTCACTTTGAAATTTTAAAAAGGTTTATTAAACCTTAACAAAAATACAAGAAAAGGACTATATAAGGAAAAATTCACAGCGCTGGCAACTGCCCCTTGTGCATACTACATGGCCAATTCATATTTAAGATGGATGCTCAGTCTTTTATACCCCTGGGGGTTGCATCAACCAGCTCTGGCCCCCCTCAAAGTCTGCCAGTCAGCTCTTCTTTGCCATTTATCGGTGGTTACTGCTTTCTTGCAATTTAATTGGAGATCAGGTGTTGCCATGCCACACCCCCTAAGCACCAAGCTTTTCCATTCCCGACTGCCCCAGGTAAGGGACACATGTGCGCACCTTCTGTCTACCTGTCCTAGACAACCCAGGCTGTCTGATGGTCACAATACAGGGGGAGAAAGGGAACTATGGGGTGAGCAGAGGCCATGTAAACTAAATAACATAACTATACATCAATAAAGCTTTCCTTAATATTCACACAACAGTTATCCCTTAATTGCGAGAGCCAATCACCTCATTACCCATCTATAACACTGCTGTGCACCCATGTCCATTTTGAGCTGGTACAAGAGCAGCCATGACATGGTGCTCCTTCCCCACCCCCTTTCCCTGGGACAGATGCCCCACATTTTGGGGAAGAGAGAAGTAGCACACATTAGTATCTTTTTTTGCCTGGAAGCTGGGAAGGGCTGCTCCAGCACGTCGGATGGGCTGGCAGCCCTGTTCAGTGGCAGGACAGAGCTGGGCACTGGCACAGGGAAGGGAGTGAATGGTGATTGCTGTGCCAGCCAGTAGCTACAGGCAAACTTTCTCTTGCAGCTCTCAGCCTGAGGGGATTGCTTAGCATTTAGCAGCTCTTATATTTCCATTGGCAATACTCCCTGAACCGCCGCCTCGGCCTAGTGATGCCGCAGTAGCTTAGTGTGCTCCCACAACTCCTGCAGTAAGTGCATCCCAGGAGATGTGAGTAGTGGGATAGGCTATTGATGCTGGGCTTAGGGTGAGATGGGAAAATCGAGGCCAGGGTGTGAATATTCTCATCCAAGGTTTTTTGGGGTTTTTTTGTGGTAATCAGGAACAAAGATCATGGATGAGTGCCAGACCCTGCTGTCTCTTACACTTGTCATCAGGGAAGGAAAGCAACAGGAAAGGAGTACATTGGAAAACTGATCCCTACAGCAGGAGCAGCTGTTGAAGACATCCTATTAAAGCAAGTAGGAGGCAGCTCCTCCAATGTGTTTCCCAGGCTGCAGTAACAGTTCTGCAGTAACAGTTCTGGTGACTTTCTAACAGTGCAGAGAGGACAGAGGCCAACTTGCCAAGGAGCTGTCAAGAGGGAGTCCAGAAAGGGTAAAAAAGAGCTTCTGGTGCTCAGGCATCTTGTGCACACTCACTCTTAGCAAAGAGAGCAGAGGTGACAGTGGAACCACATGCTGTCGTTCCAGAGGTGAGCCAGTTCTGGAAAGCCGTTCAGTCCAGTGCATCAGTAGCGGTGCTGGCTTTGCCCGTGGTCTGCTGTAATACACTGGGAATATCATTTTACCCTTTTTGGCCAGTTCTGTGAATGGAAAATAAAAGCACTGATCTCCCTGGTAAAAACATGCTGGTGTCTCTGAATGAGAAGTGCTGCTATTACTTCTTGTGACCTTTATTTTCCCACTTGAACAAGGCATAAACTGCTGGTGACCAGCAGAGATGGATGTCAATGGGCACACCCCTGCATACCCTGAGGGATTGTCTGCACGGAGACTGCTTGTGTCCCAAATTATCCATATGATGTGACTATATTGCATGAAAGTGAGGGCAGGAATTTGGCCTGGAAGAAGTAAGGGGGCTCAATAGCACAGCCTGGGGATGCACACCTCTCCCATGGCCATCAGAACCCACTTTCTGCTTTTTTTTCTTTTTTCTTTTCTTTTTTTAGAGGGGGCAAAGGTGTTCCAGTGGTCACACTGCTGGCCTGGACGTGGCCACTGACCTGCACTGTAGTGCCTCTCCAGAGTCCTGGGGAAGGTCATGAAGGGCCATTTCAGACCTACATACCTTGGAAATACTTTCTCTTAATTCCCCCATGCTTCTCTTTCTAATCTGAAAGGTGACTTTCAAGAATTTTCTGTCATGCAGGAGTCATGTGCAAGATAAGCAGCCTGAGATAAATGCCAAAGATAAGTTAAGTCTGTTATTTGAAAACAAGCTGAATAGGATTGAAAGTCTTTAGCCTCTAAGGGGGTAAGAAAAAGTCTTGGTCTTCATTACATGACTCTAGGCAACAAGCATGCTATTTTAAGATTTGTGGGCAAGTCTTGTTTTATCTTTTATCTGAACTGAGATTATCATGGCTGATACTGATCCTGCAAATAACTGTTTGGTTTAGCTCTTTCATGGTATGTTATCCATCCAAACTGGTCCTTAAATGACTCCTCTGCTTGCCTGGAGGCCTGCAACTTTTTGTTCAAACAGCTGGACCACGTCCTGAAATCATTATCTCCCTGTGATGCACCTGGAAACTTAAAGGAAGTGCCTTGGTCAAATTTGGACAGGAGTTTTTTGTTAGAGCCTGGAACTGAGTCCCAGGCTTACATCCCACACACTGAGAGGGATGACTTCTCACCCCAGAATTGCCCAGCACTCTTGGATCTGACTTGGATACATTCAGGTGAGTGTCTGACTGAGTGTTGTCCTTGTAAGATTGGGTTTAAAATCCTGTGCAACCACAGCCTCTGAGCACATCTGTCAGAGCCACATGGCCACTTTTGGACAGGCAATCTAATATGATGGCAAGGAAAAAAAGGGAAGAGGAAAATAAATATATGTGCTGTGGAAATGTTTCATCTTTCTGACACTAAAAGAACAATCACAAAACAATGTTTTGTGGTTGGAAATGGAAAACATACAGGGATTAACATGGAAATAACAATGAAATATGTAGGTAATGTGAGCTACACAGTGCAGTACAACAAATGTCAACCACCTAAAGCTTTCTGACTGTGGAGAATATATCTGGTTCCAGGTTTATGGCTTCTGAGGCAATGGACTGCAATAAGATCACAGCAATCTGCTTCCTGAAAAAGTGATCTAGCTACAAATAATACATGCTCAAATTATTCTATAAATATCTCAATCAGTAGTCACTTGTGCTTCTTGTGCAGGCCAGTCATAAAATACAGTTAACAGAAGAGCATGCACTATGCTCATAAAGTTATGTGATAATTTGAAAGTTAACGTGCTCGTTGTTACTGCCCCCTATGTTTATTTCTCACAAGTTACAGTAGGGAAGAGGTGGAAAGAAAGAAAAAGACAGGAGAAAAAAATTTACCTGTGCTTCCATTCCTCATGTCCCTGCTTTGGGGTGCTGGGAAGCTCTAGGCAGGAGTCCTACCAGGTGCCTCTAAAAGCAGCATGCACGAGGTTGAAATCCTGTTCATCTTCCAACTCTTTCCCAGACACATAAACAAAGCAATAGTAAATACGCAGTATATACGAAAATACTGGTTCTTATTCTGCTTCTCTGCATAAATTCTTGACCTTGTACAGTAGAGTTTATGCAGTGGTTATGAGTTTTAAGAAACATGGTTTTTTTATAACTGCTATGGGAGAGCTGCTGTGTGCAGTCCCATAGGAAAGCATGTGAAGACTAGAAGTCAACTCCAGCCTGAATTCAGATTTTCTGGGGGAATTGACTTTAATTTGTTGAAAAATAGAATTTCCCAAACCAAAATGAACAACATCTTGCATAAATTTTCTTCACTACAATGCTTGCATAGATTGCATATTTTAATCTTTATCACTTCTCTTTTCATCATCTCAGATTTTACAGGTGAATCAGCTGAAATGTCCAAGGATTTCTGTTTGGAAATAGATTCACAGGCATCTTTCAGCTCAGACACAGAACAGTAATGCACATTCTGGATAGCACAGTCACCTTTCCCTCAATGATCAAAAAGGGCCAGTAAGATTATTTGATAGATCAACCTTATATAACAATTCAATTTTTCATCTAGATTTTACCAAAATCAGCTTCAGGTAATGCTTCTGCATGTGCATGTGCACGTATGAAATAGAATCATAAAATGGTTTGGGTCGGAAAAAGATCTTAAAGATTTTGTAGTTCCAAACCCCTTTCCATGGGCAGGGACACTTTCCACTAGACCAGGTTCCTCAAAGCCCCATCCAGCCTGGCCTTGAACACTGCCAGGGATGAATCATTCACCGCTTCTCTGGCAGCCTGTTCCTTTGCCACATCACCACCACAGCAAAGAATTTCTTCCTTGCCTGTAATCCAAACCCACCCTTTTTAAATTTAAGGTCATTCCCTGCATCCTATCATGGCATACTCTTGTAAGAAGTCCCTCTGCGGCTTTGTCCATGTGTGAAACAAGCATAAATGTGTGTATCTACAGAAAAAACAAGTGGAAGAAATCATGCTCACCCAGGATCCTGCAGGGCATCACCCAGAAGTGCCCCTCAGGGCTGTTGGTGTCCTTGGGCCATGCCAGCAGATGGAGAACACACTGGTCCTGCAGCAGGAACTCCACAAAGAGCCAGGTGATGGCCACAGACACAGAGCCAAAACAGGTGGTCAGATGGACATCTGCACACAAATGTCCACAGCATGAAAGAAAAGGCAGAGTAGAATAGCTCCCTGCGCACGTATTTGGTGCAGGTGGTGATGTGGGGAGGTGGCAGCACCCTGGGTGTGATGTCCTTGCCCCCAGGGCTCTTCAGCAGCTGGATGGTCCTGACCACAGGAGCTGAGTAGGTAGCACCAGGGCATGGTGAAGGCCAAGCAGGTCTCTCATGCAGTGGAGGTCAGCCCATGGATGGGAAGTGCTGCCCTAGACCGCCCTCTTTGCCCAGAAAATGAGGGAGGCACCAAGAAATCAGCACTGCCTGCTGGAAGGGAAATGGCTCCTTGAATGACATCCACATGAACATGGTAGACATTCTGGAGCATGAACAGCTCCCTGAAGAAAAGCCCAAAGGTCTCAAACCCTTTGTGCAAAGTCATGACATAGGTAAGGGTGCAGGCGGCCTCTCAGCTGCCAGGGCCCAGGTGATGCGGTGGCTCTGTGTGATATTCTCTGTGCAGCTGGGTTCTCTGAATGGCATTTTCCTTCAGAAGGACACCTTGTCCTCAAAAAGTGCTTTACAGGCTTCTGCTAAAAATCAAGCTTGCTGAGATGTTCAGCCTCCAAAGAGGTTTTTGTGCTTGCAAATTAACAGTGTAGAAAACAAACGGAAATGAAACACTGCGACTCAGAACACCAAAAGGGCAATATATTGTGTTGCACAGAGGAGCAACTCATTGCTCCTCAGAAAAAGTCTCTCTTGAAACACAACATCAGACACCACCAACAGTATGTTTTGATGGCTGTGCTTGCTTCTTGCTGGAAGAGTCACGGATCCATCTGATGTAGAGCGTGCAGCTGCTGCCCTTACTTTCAGTATTAATAGTTGCACAGTTATCACTGATGTAGAAACAGTATAAGTGAAGAACAGTTTGCAGAGAGAAGCTGCTCCACAACACCCTGAAGATTAAACAGACATAATGCATAATTATTGTCTTGCCAATGAGCAAGCTGGCACATATTTCAGAGTGTCCCCAAATTCAATGTATGGGTATGTTCTTAACTGCTTCCTCCCCACTCTCCCTGCATGTGTCATATAGCTGTTAAAATTTCTGCGCATGTACCCTATGACAGAAAAACCTCATATTTATCTCATGCCATTATTTTTTTTTTACTTGCAGGATTTTTTTTTTAACCACCCCAATGTGTCAGCCATCACTGCTTCTGAATTGTAAAAGACTTCTAATATGAAATAAATACTACTTCAATATGTCTCAGTGGCAATTACCCTAGTAGATCAAGTATATATGTAAGGTATTGTGGCCTTTCTGCTCTTTGATATTCTGGATAAATGCAATTTCTAGAAGGCAATAATCAGAAACCCAGTTCAATACATACCATTTTCCAGCCAAAGAACACAGGATGAAGAAAAACCACTCATCCATCCTCTACGTCTATATTTCTGTCTTCACTATTCTTCATTTCTCATGCAAGGCCACCAACACTCACCTATAAGAAGCAAGAGATTTTTTTTGCCCTGGTGTAGAGTTATGTCACAGCCATCAGCTTATTTCAGCAATATTTTCATTTGCAAATTTGAAATCTGACAAACAGTTTCTACTAAGAGTCATGGATGACTTGTGATGAGCTCCAGGTTTACATCAGTGGGGGTGCTTGAGGATCCCCAGGATGAGGGAAGAGATGAGAATCTTGACTCCATGTTTCAGAAGGCTGATTTATTATTTTATTACATATATTATATTAAAAGAAAATGGTATACTAAAACTATACTAAAGAAAGAGAAAGGACACATCAGAAGGCTAGAAAGGAATGAATAGTAAAATCTTGTGACAGATGCCAAGAGTCCGACACAACTGGCTGTTGTTGGCCATTAATTAAAAACAATTCACATGCAACCAATCAAAGATGCACCTGTTGGTAAATCATCTCCAGACCACATTCCACAGCCATCAGATAGTTATTGTTTATATTTCATTTCTGAGGCCTCTCAGCATCTCAGGAGAAAAATCCTAGTGAAAGGATTTTCATAAAATATGTCAGTGACATACATCCTTCATAAGGAAATGGGTTAGGAAAGCCTGCTATTTAAACTATTTAAATTAACCCTAGGCTTACTGATGAAAAATTTGTATTTCTAAGAACTGTGAATGCATCTGGTATAACATGTAAAGGCAATGAGAGCTTAACACAACTCTGACTAAAGTGAAATCATTGGTGTCTTTGTTCCAGCTGAGAGTCTGTTCATGTGCGTCTCCTGCCATGACACAGCATGTTTGGGGCATGCAAACTTTTCTCAACATCCCATTATTTTGCTTCAATGTGAAGCAATGCTGAGGCAAAACCAGTTGATCTGAGATTTTGCCAGTGAATGTTCTGAGTGGGCAGTGCATTGTGCTACAGAGGGAGAGATGCTGCTGCAGGCCAAGAGTGCAGCTTGATAAAGGTGCACAGATCCTGAGCTGAGACCACTACACAAGTCTAGCAAAGAAAAGCACAGCATTCCTGCAGGAGTCAGGGTTTCATTGAGAGGGGTCTCAGCTGGGGGCAGAGAGCACAGGTAGCTTTCCTGGAATACAAAGGCTGAGGTCTTCCAAGGCATTTGGATGTCTTGGAAACTGTCTGATCTTTTAAAACTGCAGTAATCTTTTAAAACAGTGTAATCTGCTACACGGGTAGGAAAGCTTCTAGGATCTCAAAATATATACATGACATATATATATACATATATGAAAGGAAATTCTTAGTTGTTGAAGCCTGCTTTACTAGCATGGCCCATATGAAACAAGTAAAGCTACATGCAGAAAATGAGATGAGTCTGGTCTTTGCAGGAGTGCAATGCAAGATTTAATTTTTCCTTGGTGTCTTTTGCTGTTGGTTTGGAGTTTTTTTCCTTGCACAGACATTGCTACAACACCTTTGCAGAAATCCAGAGTCACTGTGATCCTTTGGTATCAATAGCCTTGGGGGAAAGAAGGCTGCATACTTGGTGCTACTTCTTAATTCCAGTGCCTTGATTCTCTGGCACTGTTAATATTTAGATACCTGAAAGCATACATGTAAATGATAACTGTGGGAAATCAAACTGTCAAACCCTTTGGGGTTTTGAGGGATTTTTTAGGTTTCTTTTTTGGTTCTGCCTTGTGCTGCTCTGTGTGAAATAGGCCCATGCTTGAATTATAGGCAATAATCACCAAACCAAACTAACCCACACCAGAAAAAAAAAAAAAAAAAAAAGCCAACACACAAACCAAAAAACCAAACTAAAGCCAGTCAAACATTAAAAAAAAAAGCATAAGTCATATGAGCCAGCTCAATGGAAAAAGTATTTTTCAGGTATTGTTGCTGTTGATTTACAGACTCATCCAAAGTTCAGATGCAAGGAGCAGCCGAATCTAGATGTACATCTGAACCATATTATGGCACCTATCATCAGCTAGGTGTGAGGAAACATCATGAGGGTCCTGGCTTTATCTGTTGTATACTGCATCAGACCTCTGCATATTCTGGGTACAAGAACAGAGTTATGGAACAAAAAAATAACAAATGATTGAATTTACCATGCAATTTAACAAAAAGGCTGTGTAAAAGGGTTCTGTGCTGGAAGAACTAAAACTGCTGAGATTTGCAGTGCCGCTCCTTTCTATTGTTCCCTGGACCTGCACTGAAGCAATTTTCTTTTAGCCTGAGAGGAATTTTTGGTGTGGCTCCTGTAGTGGAAACATACTCCCCAGTAGGACTGAGGATTGAAATGTCTTCCATGGGGATGAATGAGAATAGACCTTTCCAGACAATGAGGATATTATCTTAGGAATAGGGTTAGTACTCAGTAAACTGCTCCTGGCCTTAGCAGATATAGGTAATTGGTTTCAGCTAATTTATTAGCTAATTAAAAAGCAAGATGCACAGGTTTTGCACATTGGTTTTGGGTTCCTGTTTGGCCTCAGTCAGTAGCAACAAATGTGATGCATTTCATGTTTATTTGGAGTCACTTGGCATTTTTTATTCTGTTGTGAGGACAAAACCATCTGTAGGATGATGTTCCTTTTCCTGGCCCTCTCATGCAAAGCTGTCAGTTTGAGCTGGCACCACTGTTAAATTCACAGTGAGCCTGTAGGGAGCAAACAATTGTTTCTCAGTGTGTTTTTTCTGGGAAGTGCACGCAGCCACAGATTGGTGTTCTGTGCCCAAGTAAAGGATCTCTTCATCCTTCTCACCTTCTGAACTGAATGAGATCAAACTGCTTTGGTCTTGTGTTGGTTTGGGATGTCCTGCAGTGTGCATGGTCTCTCTAAAACTCCCCCTGGAGCAGCCCTGCCTGGCAGGGGTCTCCTCTAACACGAGCTTTACTCACATGCCCTGTCTGAGCTGGAAGGCTGGAAGCTGTCAGCACAGGGGAAGTGAAAGCAGCACAAAAGCAGACAAAATTTATTCCTATCGCTCCTCTGCCTCCCTTTTATCCTTGCTATAGCAGTCCCTGCCCTTCCTGCACTTCCCAGGCAGCCATACCCTGACTGCTGAAAGAGAAGAAAACTCAAACCTACCTGAAGCAGGAGTTCCCAGGCGGGCACACTGACACCGGACAGTCACAGCGCAGCAGCACAGGCAGCAGACGGGAGGAGAGATGGAATGACACATTGAGGCAAGTGCTAGCTCAGCTCACATGGTCCAGCAAAGCCATGGAATAATCTAATTGCACACAGCCAGTGAGCACATCTGTCTGCACAAACAGCAGGGGCCAGACAATGCATCCATCCCATCCGCCTTTGTCTTGCTGCCGTCTCCAGCTCCAGACACGGAGCCTCCCACCCTGCAGGAGCTTCCCTGCTTGTCTGTGTTTACAGCAGACTTTCAGTGCAAAGGTTTTGGGAATAGGTAAGCTGACTAGCCTCTTAGCAGAGCACATTTTGCAAATCAGAATTGCTAGTGCTCCGAAGCAGAGCACTCACAGCTCCCTCCTCCAATTAATTTCCAACAGGGACATGTACTCACCTCTGTGCAAACTACTCCTCATCACCTGCTCAGGAGCAACGGCATCCTCTTCCCTGCTCATTTATCCTCCTGCACAGGGAAAGCAAGACATAATTAAACACCTCCTAATAGAGGACAGGCAGGCTGTGGTGGTGAAGCTGGTTTTAGCTGGCTTTCTTCTGTAAATATGACTAGATTTTATAGCTGACACTGGTGTAGCCAAGGCATGATAGGGATCTGTTTTCTCCCTGCAGATTAAAATCTGCATTAATGTACAATAAAGTACAATTGTATATGTGCAGCCACCATTTGCCTTGGAGGAGTGTCCAAAAGCAGCTTACAGTGGGTTTTGCAAACTTTTGGGCACTTGCTAGCTTTATGAGCATGAACCCAAGGTGTTCCCCTCGATGGTGTCAGACCCTCAGAGAGGCGTCAGGGCAGGGCAGTGTCCCTGCAGCCTGGGGTCTGCATGGCCAGGGGTCTGCTCCCAGCTGCAGGTGTGTTAGCAGCCAGAGGAGCAAAGCAACCCCATTTGCAGGTTGGGAGTCACCTGCTCTGCCAAGCAGGCCTGACAGCCCTGTTCCACAGCCCTGGGTGCTGGTACAGGTGACTGGCTGTGCCAGAGAGAACAGATACATGGATCAGATCACTGCTAGTATTTTAATGCCTCCACTACACATGTAGCAGTATCACGCTCTTTATTCTGACAATATAATTTGTTGCCAGGTACAACATGAGCAGAGA